TTGAGATGTAAGATCAGAGGTAGCCATAAACCTGTAGCTATTTATATTTGTATCTCACGTTACTATTTAAAAACTACTCTGAGACTTTTGAAAGAATAGGAGCAGAGGCATTCATTTTATTCTCCATGAAATCCCCCAATAAAAACAAAGTGATCAAGTAGGATGCAAAATCAAAAGCTCATTGACAATGCCTATAGCAAAAAAATAAATAATTTAGGTTTCCTCTATCTGCTCTTCTAAGAAAACTCTTCTTTCAGCGCACATTCAGTAAATATGTCCTCCCCCATATTTACTTTCTTTAATGACTCTATTTCTTTTTTTTTTTTCTGACACAGAGTCTTGCTCTTGTTGCCCAGGCTGGAGTGCAATGCCGAGATCTTAGGGTATTCTCCTGCCTCAGCCTCCCAAAAAGCTGGGATTACAGGTGCCTGCCACCACAACTGGCTAATTTTTGTATTTTTAGTAGAGACAGGGTTTTACCATGTTGGCCAGGCTGGTCTCTAACTCCTGACCTCAGGTGATCTGCCTGTCTCGGCCTCCCAAAGTGCTGGAATTACAGGTGTAAGCCACCGCGCCCAGCCATGACTCTATTTCTTTATTACATTGATGATATTAATGCATTTATTGTGCCATTATTCAATAATCTCCTTTCTAATTACTTATCCCCTTACTAAAACTGTACCATTGATAATATTAACTATCATTTAAAAACTTTTCTTAATGTAATTCTGATTTTGCACTAAGCTGATTTGCCTTATATCTTATCTTTCTCTGACTGCTCATTCTCTGTTTATATTGATACTTCCAGCACCTAAATAATGGCACTTTTCAAGTCATTTTGGGAAAGTGAGAGTGAGAGAAGAAAAGAGAGCAGAATGAGAAAGAGAGAGAGAGAAGACAGACTTTTTCAGAGGAGACTATTAACTGCTCCCCAGGGTTTAATAATTCAATCTATTCTGATAACGCCCTCTCCTACCTCCAGACTCAATCACTGAAACAATCACAAGTGAAAATAAAAAAATTAAAACAGAAATACTGGATATCTGTTAGCTTCTTACAAAAACCTACCCACTTCCATAGCTCTCTCTTGCTGTTAAGAACTTTGCATTTCTTCCCAATTAGCAAGAAATAAAATTAGAATTGCTTTTTAATTCCCTTTAATCTTCGACATCAGATAAAATGCTGAGTTACAGAAACTCTCCTGCTGAGCAGCTTCTTACTTGAGTTCAACACTTCCTTTTCTTTGCTATTGCAACAAGTGTTAATACCTTTATGATCGCTCATAAAGATCATGTAATAGCCTCCTTAATTTCTCTCTACTTTTCACCCCTCCCTGCTTGAATCAATCTTAAATATTATGAATGTCTTGTCAATCAAATACTCTGTTCAAAAGTCCTTCATGGTCTCTATGCTGTCTTTAGAATAACTCAGAAGGACAATATCTAGTATTAAAATCTTCCACCAACTTGTCCCACCTTGATCTCCTGCTGTTCTCTAAGGAACATAAATGGTGGCAAACTGATTCCATACATCCCTGCTCTTAGCTGCTTAATCAGAGTATTCTCCCTGCCTAAATGATTTGTAACTTTTCATTCCCTCATGTAAAATCGCATTAAGCCTTTCATTGGTATTTTGGGGATAAATCTCATACTGCTTTTATTATGGGATGGTCACCAGTTCCTCTTGTGACACATAAATGTATATTTTTTCAAAATATATCTTATCTGATATTTGGATAATTATTTCAATCATATAAACATTCAAGTACTAGAATTTGATTGAAATAATATTCAGTCATAATTAAAGATTCTAACATGACTCAAATATTTCAATAATTATTTAGATAATTATGTGAGATAAAATTATTGAATATCATGTGTATGAAGTTGAAGTACACCAAGTTCGAGTTCTGCTAATGATAATGTATCTTATATTGGACAATAATCTTTCAAAGAAAATAATGACAAACTATATATATATATATGTGTGTGTGTATATATATATATATATTTATTTTTTTTTTTTAAAAACTGCTTGAAGGCACTGGAGATCAATTAAGAATAGACAAAGACTAGAGAGATTTTTCACTTGAGGAAACCCCTTAATTCATGTGGAAAGGAATGGCTAGAACCAGGCAGAAAAGTGAGGGGTGATAACTAGAAGATATGGTACCCTTATAAATTATCTTCAAAATCCCTGTCTGACACCTGAACTGTATGTGCAAGCAAATAAGAGGCAGTGACTAGAAAGGTGAAAAAGGTAGCTACTGCCCATTGTAAGTTTACATGGGCCAATACAACTTTGAAATGTATCATTGTCTGTATGGGATAGCCAATGGGGTGAGCTTAATAGCACATTGAAGATGTCAGAAGAAAGAGTACATTAATTTGAATATAAATCAATTAAATTTTTCCAATCTGAAAAGTAGAGAAAAAAAAGTTGAATAAAAATGCACTGTATGTCTTAGGTCAATGCCTAGAAGTATTACAGATATATATATATATATATGTATATATACACACACGCACACACAATTATATGTATGCATATATATTATATATATATATATATATATATATATATACACCGTATGTAATATATATATTTTGAAATCTCTAAAGGAGAGTCATGGGTAAATGGAGAAATATTATTTCAAGAAATAATGGCCAAAATTTGCCAAATTAGATGAAACAAATAACATTATATATCCAAGAATTTCAGTATCTTAAGAAATATAGATACTGAACACTCCCACTCCTACACACCTAAAGTCGCACTACAGAAACTGTTGAAAAGCAATGGTAAAGACAAAATCCTAAAAGATAAAGCTATTTTAAAAAGAAAATATCAATAGGAATAAAGCTTTACTTTATTTTAGAAAGAGATTAGAAGACAAAGCAGTTTTGAGATACTGAAAGAAAACAAAACACAACAAAACCAAAGCAACTATTAACCCAGAATTCTATAACCAAGGAAAATTTCTTTTTTTTTTTTTTTTTTTGAGACGGAGTTCCGCTCTTGTTACCCAGGCTGGAGTGCAATGGCGCAATCTCAGCTCACCGCAACCTCCGCCTCCTGGGCTCAGGCAATTCTCCTGCCTCAGCCTCCCGAGTAGCTGGGATTACAGGCACGCACCACCGTGCCCAGCTAATTTTTTGTATTTTTAGTAGAGACGGGGTTTCACCATGTTGACCTGGATGGTCTCAATCTCTTGACCTTGTGATCCACCCGTCTCGGCCTCCCAAAGTGCTGGGATTACAGGCGTGAGCCACCGCGCCCGGCCCGGAAAATTTCTTTAAAAATAAAGGTGAAACATAAGCATCTTCAAATAAATGAAACTAATTTTGCTGCTAGCAGATTTGCACCATAAGAGGTATATATTCTGTGTATACATACGCACATGTATATACATATGTATACTTTGTAAGTTTGCATACATGTATATATTCTGACCTTGCACTGGCCTGATTTACCTTCTACCTCTGTCTAAAGTTCTATTATGTCATCTACATTGTTTCTTTAAAGTAATTCAATAAATACTATATGTTGTATTTGTGCATGTTACTTAATTTAATCTACAACTAGGGGTGGTTAGTTAACATTTAAAATATGCTAATCATAAACTCTCCCTACATAGATAGTTAACAGCTGAAGTAGTTAAATCACAGGCAATCTCCAGGGGCAGCTATTGAGAACTTCAAACACTTTGAATTATATTTGCACCTGAGTGTTAACTAGTATAAGGAATATCAGAAATAATATTTTAGTAGTGAAATGGTGTTCTTTGTATGTGGGGGCTAGAAATACTAATATTTTATGGCCAGTGCTGCTCTTTCATAAGTGGAATGTAAGAATCATGAGTCTAGCTGCTTAACAACAACAGAATATCTAGACCTCTGTTTTATCAGTGCCTTGTCGTAATGTAGGACTCTGCCTTGCAATGTGGATGAAAAATACTAGATTCTATATGAGCATATTGTTTGTTTGTTTGTTTTGTTATCCAGGCTGGAGTGCAATGGCTCAATCTCAGCTCACCGCAACCTCCGCCTCCTGGGTTCAGGCAATTCTCCTGCCTCAGCCTCCTGAGTAGATGGAATTACAGGCACGCACCACCATGCCCAGCTAATTTTTTTGTATTTTTAGTAGAGACAGGATTTCACCATGTTGACCAGGATGGTCTCGATCTCTTGACCTCATGATCCACCTGCCTCGGCCTCCCAAAGTGCTGGGATTACAGGCGTGAGCCACCGGAGCATATTGTTTCATATGCTTCAAGGTAAAATGGTGACATAGAGTGCTTCAAAACGTACCTAAAATTAATGAGAGTTGGGATTCACCCAGCTTACAGGAATAGGTTATATGACTTATCTTTGAGCCTGCTTGCTGGTAAATATTATATGTGTGGCAGGATTCAGTCAGGATTTGCTTTTATTATGCAGTATCACCTAGCGGCAAAATCTTAGTGGAAGAGATGTATAACCGGCACCAAGTAATATTTATCTTAACTCTGTTTGAAATCTTCCCTTCTCCTGTATTCCCCACCTCACCTGACTCTGAGAAAGTAATTACAGAATTGAAAAGTCTTTGCATGTTCCTTGTAAAATATTATGTTTATGTAAATTATATATATATATATACACACACACACACACACATACAGACACAGACACACACATATACATATTCCAGTTTGGTGGTTAAACTAACGAAAATATTAATATAATAAAGAACACAGTTTGATATTAAGAGATGTTCTTAAGTGGGCAAATTAAGCAAATAAAATTCTTCAGTGAATGAGTACATAATTAATTGGTTCACAGATTTTGTACCCAACAATAATTTTAAAGACCCGGAAAGATTATTTCTCTGTCTCAAGCAAACTGATTCAGTACATCACAAATGCTTTTATCTTTCTTGAGAAGAAATGCTACCGTCTTTCTTTGAGAACAAGATTATCTTAAGCATAATTTTTGTTGATAGCAATAAATGAAACATCTTACCTCCAAATGATATCCAACTCTGATAAAGGCACAAAGTGGCTCAAAACCTCCAGTACTACATGTCAGAAGGTGTGTCTTATTATAGTGATGCAAAACCCGAACATAATTTGCACATTCACCCTAAAGCAGGAAGAAAAAGAAAATAATCTATTAGTATAATAAACATGTTTAGCCCTTTTTGATTTTTGTTTTTCCTAGTCCTAAAATCTCATGTTTTACCACACATTTCTGTTGGGTGAAGAAGGCAAGAGGGGTAGATAAAAAGAGGACAAGAACTTGGAAAAGAAACTGGGGTGACTAAAACATATTTAAGTTAGCAGTGATGTATAAATTACATTTTATAATTAGAGTGCCTTATTTTTCATGCATTCTAGTTTGCAATTGAGGAATAAAAAAGTACTGTTCAGAAATGTTTTCATGTGTAAAAATTTGCATGGCAATGTGTTCCACCAAGTTATTCCCAGTGCTGTTTTTTAAGTACAGTATAAACAATGAATCAGCATAAAGTCATTAAAACTAATAATTAGAAAAAGCATAGTTATTCATATACAAACATGCAGTCTTTTTTTTTCCCCCCCACCACAGGGTCTCACTCATTTGCCCAGGCTGGAATGTAGTTGTGTGACCTTGGCTCACTGTGGCCTTGCCTTCCAAGGATCAAGTAATCCTCCTACCTCAGCCTCTGGAGTAGTTGGAACTATAGGCATGTGCCACCATGCCCAGCTGATCTTTTTGTATCTTTTGTTGAGATGGGGTTGTTCAGTGTTGCCCAGGCTAGTCTCAAATTCTTGGGCTTAAGCCATCTGCCTGCCTCAGCCTCCCAAAACATGCAGTATTTAGAGCAAACAAAATTTTAATGTTTTGGAAAGTAAGTCTTATATTCTCATACTCAAATTCACATAAAGCACTTTCAGAGAGAATTTTTAAACAATAAAAATAACGTTTTGTTTTAAGACTATGATAAGATTACTATATTTGTTATAAGACTATGATAAATTACTGTATTACTATATTTTATATATATTACATACTATTGTGACTGACATAATAGTATGCCCTTGGCAAGAAGTGCACTATTGAACCGATTATCCAAGGCACACAGGTATATTTATTTCTTCAAGTTTGCATTCACATGTTATGTTATTTTTTGGGTGATCCATATATTTGGTAGAATCTGATCATTCAGGCGTGGTGAAAATATCTGTCATTTATTTCTATAAGCACCTGCTTTTCCTCCCTTTACTCCCCGTCACATCTGAGAGTGAGCCTATGAGTCCATATTTTGGCTCAGCTGAACTTAGATTGACATGGCCTAAGAGTATGTTGAATTAGTCAGCATCATGCTGTGGGCTAAGGCAACAGGAATGTGTTGACTCACTCCTTGGCTGTGACCCAGCCTCTACAGAGAATGAGGAGTTGGTATAATGTGTTAGTCATTTATAGAGTATTCTCTTTTCTTACTGAAAAAAAAAAGATAATTCCACTTTCACAGGCAGATGTCCAGGCCTTTCTCCAGGGTGCCTTTGTGTCATGAGATCAGCTAGCCACTGCCCGCAAGTGAAAGTCCTATCAGGGACGTCTTAGTGTGTTAGGGACTGCGTCAGGGATGCTGATGCACAGCACTTTGCCACTCACACACAGCAGGAGACTACAGAAAGACAGAATATTGCTTCTTAAAGTAGAAGAGACCCTGAAAACATTTAGGAATATATAAAATGTGTTTTTTGCCTCTCTCAAACTTTTTTGTTCTTTTTTTGTTTCTTCATTAATTTCTAATTTGCTAAACAATGTAAGGTGAAATCTCACAAAGAATGTGCTTAACTGTTCCCAGAAAAAATTACCTGCAATTATTTTTCTGCCAAATACATGGGAAATAAGCATTAGCGTAAGGAATTTATAAATCCAGGTTGATTAAGATATTAAAAAACAAAATAAAAACCAAAATCTCAATGGCACTTCTGCTTTAACTCTGCATTGAAATTAATTTTACATAATTATGTATTTTATATGCATATACATACTTTCTTCATAAACCAAATTGCATACATGCTTTTTTTTATAAGAGCAAAAAAAAATTCAGTGATTCAGTTATTTGTGGTTGACTAGTGATATAATTGATGATTTGTTTAATTTACAATGAATAATACTTACCACATCTTTTCCTTTCATCATGCATTCTTCTATTTTTAGAGCTGTATTAGGCCAGTGTATCTAAAACAAAAGATAATGTACTATTATGGCAACTGCATATAAAAATAAACCTCACTGAAAACCTCACTTTTTTTTACAGTTCAAAACATTTCCATTTTGATTTATTTACTGGAGCTTTATTTTATTCATGTTATCTCTGGGCTTTTACTTTATGATAAACCTTTTAAAAAAAAAGTCTTTTTGAAGGCTCATCTCAAGTCTTGGCCCTTCAGAGATGAGCCATGGCTTAACCAAACCTTTCCCATATTAAACCTGACTGCTCCTCCAATTCAGGGACTTCTGCAGTTTCTTGTGTTTTTACTACTTACCACAGAACCCGCTGTGTGGTGGGCTCTCTGTAATGTTTGCTGCATACAATGATTAAAGGATGAAAGACTCATTAAATGCTGACTTATAATGTATCACCCAGTAATACACCACACTGTATGTTTGATTTTTTTTTTTTTTTTTTTTTTTGAGACAGAGTCTTACTCTGTACCCAGGCTGGAGTGCTATGGAACAATCTCAGCTCACTGAAACCCCCGCCTCCCAGGTTCAAGCAATTCTCCTGCCTCAATCTCCTAAGTAGCTGGGATTACAGGCACGTGCCACCGTGCCTGGCTAATTTTTGTATTTTTAGTAGAGATGGGGGTTTCACCATGTTGATAGGCCCGGCGCTGTGGCTCATGCCTATAATCCTAGCACTTTGGGAGGCTGAGGCCGGCAGATCACGAGGTCTTTGATTATTTTTTAAAAAACATTAACTCTACCAGTTCCAGGTTCCAGCTGGATTTCAGAAAGTTTGCATTGTATTTTGAGTGTGTTGGCTTATTCTCTAGTAAGAAGAATATGTCAAATCTTTCCTTTTCACCTCTAATAGTATCTAGCACTTTGCTGAGACCATAGGCAGAAATCAATTAAACTTGTTAACTAGTTCCACACATTTCTAATTGCAAAACTTGTTTTTTTTAAACAAATTGTTTTATCACTTTTTCCTTTTCCTTTCTCAGACTCCTTTTGGTCCTCGTTTTGCTTGCTCTATAAAAGTGTACTATGTGTCAAGCATTGTGTTAAGAACTTTATTTTTTCCTTCTTTTGCTTTATCAACTTATGTGCAGAGGTTTGGGTTTGTTATACTACTAAATTCAGGATTCGTTTTCATCAACACTCTTAAAAGGTCCCTCTTTTATTTTAGTTAATTACTTATTTCCTTTTCCCCCACTCCATGTTTTATTTCCATCCCCCCAGGAGGCAACTATTATAGCCTGTTACCAGGTACCTTATTTGTTTGTATGTATTCTTATAAAGTGTATATTATTTTTTGTGCATATATTTCTAATTTATGTAAATAGTATTGAATTTAAATCTCATCTCTTTCCTACCTTGTTGAATAAGAACTGGGTTTTTGAGGTCCCTCAGTAGTCCTATGCATACATATAGCCTGCTGTTTCTGAGTGTTTTGTAATGTTAAGCTGTGGATCCCTCACATTTTCTTATCAACTCTACCAGTGATGGATGCCCAGATTGCTTCCAAGTCTCTATCACATCAAATTGTTACCTTATTGAACATGCCCTTTTCAGATCTGTGTAGGAATATCGTTGGTATGTGTACTCATGAGACGAATACTGGCTCTTAGGGCAAGTAAGTATTGCATCTGTGAATGTAGTATCAGATTTCTCTCCAAAATGACTACAGGTCTATACCAGCAATCCATACCCCCATACCCTCACTTGGCATTATCAACTTTTCCAATTTTTGTGCCAAGTGCTTTAAATACAATATTGTAATTTAATCCTTACCACAACTTTATCAAAGAGATGCTTTTAGGGAGATTCTTTTTAAAATTCATATTTATCTGTGCAAACCCACATCGCAATAAATCTATGGGTTTTATTTAAAACAGATAAAACAAAGGAATGTGATTCATTTGAGTAACTGTAGCAACTGCTCAGTTCCCAAAACATTTTTGTGCCTCAAGAGCTTAAGTCTCCTAGTTAATATTGTTTATCCCCACATCTGCTGGATCAATCACCTTTACTCACCAAAATGAAGAAGCTTAGTCCACCTCCTTTTTTAAGCAGGGGAGCACCATCTCATGCTACTTTATCAATTTCATGGGCTCGCCTGGTCAGATGATGACGGATTTTATCTTTGAGGGATGTTGGTTCTCACCAAAACACTCTACAGTTTTTACTTAATTGCCTCATTGAAGCCACGTGATATGATTAGGCTATGTGTCCCCAGCCAAATCTCATCTTGAATTTTATCCCCATAATTCCCATTGATCAAGAGAGAAAACAGGTGGAGGTAATTGAATCATGGAAGCAGTTTCCCCCATGCCATTCTCGTGTTAGTGAGTGAGTTCTCACAAGATCTGATGGTTTCCTAAGAGACTCTTCCCCCTTGGCTCAGCACTTCTCCTTCCTGCTACCTTGTGAAGAAGGTGCTCAGCTTCTCCTTCACCTTCCAACATGAGTGTATGTTTTCTGAGGCCTCCCTGCTCATGCTGAACTATGAGTCAATTAAACATCTCTTCTTTATAAATTATCCAATATCAGTAGTTCTTTATAACAGTATGAAAATGGACTAATACACCAGGCTACCTAAGAATTTTTCTGATTCCCTTCTCTTTTGTAGGAAATCACTTTTCATCGTCAAGTTAACATTTTGTTGAAGGAGTTAAAATAGCACAGCCAAGTAGCATGGGCCTCTCAAGATATTAACATTTTCACAAACCGCCTCTTTCTCCTCAGGATGCTTAAGAGTCTTCAGAGGCCTTGGCTGAGAAGGATTCAGGTACAGCATTTTCCAGTCCAGCGTCAATGTTTACTGCTGTTAGACTGTATTGCTAGGCCTATGAAAGTAAGACAGACTCCTCCTGTATATAGCAGTTTATTTGTTTCCTTAAAGTCTCTATTATCTTATGCCTCCCCTTCCTCTGTTCATCACCATCCCAGCTTATGCTCTGTCAGCCTGGAAAGACATTCTGATTATAGAACAAAATATTAGATGTTTCTAATTAGTGGTATTTTTTTATTTAGTGTCAAATTATAATTAAAGTTAGGACCCAATGTTTAAAAATTTAAAAATCTTGCACAAAAATTCACATTTCTGATTTCCCTAGAAAAATATAAAGAAATGCAATACTAGGCATGCATTCCTGTGTGGCAACATTCCTCTGGAGTTGAAATGGGACAGATATTCTGATTTGCTTCAGACTTGTTTTACATGATTCCTATAGGCATTTTAGTTTCTAAAATCTGACATTTATGTTTGAATCCTAAATATGTTCAAGGCTTAAGCTTTTTTTTTAGGACAGATGTAGTGGCTCATGCCTGTAATCCCAGCACTTTGGAAGGCTGAGGAGGGTGGATTATCTGAAGTCAGGGGTTCAAGACCAGCCTGACCAACATGGTGAAACCCTGTCTCTACTAAAAATACAAAAACTAGCCAGGCATGGTGCTGTGCACACTTAGTCCCAGCTCTCTGGGACGCTGAGGCAGGAGAATTGCCTGAGCCCAGAAAGCAGAGGTTGCAGTGAGCCAAGATCCTACCACTTCACTCCAGCCTGGGTGACAGAACGAGACTCCTTCTCAATTAAAAAAGGAAAAAAAGACAAGCTTTTTTTTTTTTTTAAAGTAATTCCCCATAAAATATCAGGTAAGGCATTTATATCCCAGAATTGGAAGAGCTTGTCACTTAACTTATATATTATATAGCCAAATTCAGTTTCTGATACATGAGTAATATTGGGATTTTTTTAAGTGATGACAATAGCATTTTATAATGATAAATGATTTAATTTATGATGTTAGAAATAAGCACACTATGGTTTGAATTAGAAGTATAAAATATTACATTGATATTCATTGGTACAATGAGCCCCAGTTTTTTTACCAACTATATTTAACACCAGGTATTCTTTAATTTCCGTAGTGCAGTGTATAAACTTTTAAAGGAAGACACAGTTTTGGCAATATAAACTTTAAGTGAAAACACAGTTTTGTTTTCGATGTTGCAACACAAGAAAAAATAAACAGAAAAAAAAGTGATATGAAAGAAGACCAACACTAAAGCAAGAAGCACACACATAAAATCCTAGAATAGATGTTGATGTTAGCAATGACTCCATCAGTGAGTCGTGTATGATTTGGGAAAGATATTGGTCAGTGTCAGGTTACAGTGAAGTCTTGCATGAGCCTGAGGATAGTCACTGACCCCACAATAGGGCGAATCCTAGAAGTGAAGCTGCAGAGTTTATAAACTTTACCTGATCTATTACATTGAAAAACCATTCTTGCAGTGAGCACTGAGGGACAGATTTTAAGAAATAATTTCTAAGACCTACTCTAATTTGGGATTTAATTTGATTTGGGAATTACTAGTTTACTGGGGATGTATATTCAAATGGACATGGTAGAGCATTTGCATGTATATACAGACCATATATGTAAACACATATATTTTACTATATATAATAAAATACAAGTTTATTTTAGGATCATCTATCAGGAAAGATTTTCATTACTAATTCCCTTACCAATATGACGAGATTAGATAATACCTTATCCATAATTCAGAATAATGCATTATGTTTATAACATAACTTATGAGATACAGGGCTCTGCTTCTTTTTACAATATTAGCATCCCTTCTTATTCATTTTTGATTATTATATAAAAGGAAGACTTCTTTAAACTTATTTTTATAACATATTATTCTGTATTGCCTTAAATAATAGCTTCATGATGATCATTTCCAGTTAAACACACTGTGTAGTGGTTAATTCTCTATAGCATTTCTATACATCTTTTTACAGCTTTTGTTCCACATTATCTTTTCAAATAGTCTGAAAAGAAGGAGATAGAATCTCCCTCCAGGGCAAATGGAAAATTTATTTCCTGACCAATATAGTAAAGATTATATCTCTCTCTAGACAAAGTTTAGACAGTTTTGCTAACAGCCCCCCTATAGGATTGGGAGTTTCCTAAGCCTGGGGTCCCTCAGATGTGACACATAT